CACTATACGTGTACATGCACACACATTCTGAGATCTTCATTGTTCCCAGATGTGGATCCAGGCTGTGGAAGGCATGTTCAGATGCTCAGGGTGTGCGTGTGTTTGTCATAGTAGAAGGCACAGTGAGATTAAGATGGCTGGTTTGCAGTGAAAATGGATAGTATGTGTGCTTCCCACTGGAAAAGCAATAATAACCACTTTGTTTACTGCACCTGCAGGTGCCCCTTTTAATTACAGTCACATTTGAGGAGCAATTTAGTAGGTGAACCCCTTCATTCCTTCAGTCTGTGTTTTAAAGTCAGAGCTGCAACTACAGAAACAGTCAAGCTGATTACTGTTAAAAAGGGGGGAGGGGGTTCTGTTTTCTGCCACAAAACAGTTTTATGCCCTTTTACATTATTTTACCCCAAAAATCACCATACATAATGCTTTCAAATGCAGATATTGAACTAAATGCAAGGGGCAATGCAGTATCTATAGTCCTTTCAGCTGTTTTCATTAATATTTTAATGCATTTAAATGTTTCTATATAGTTTAAAGGGCTACTTCAGTGATTTAGAATTGCGCTTTCACAAAGTTGTGACTTGTGAGAGACAAATTTTAAAATGTACGGTCAAACTCTATGTAGCTGAGGACAAGATATCCTTATTTATTTATTTATTTATTTTGCTAGTTTCAGTCATGCTCCAAAGTCACATTTTCCTACATTTCCCATAATTCAGCTCAATAGCATTTTTTGTATGACCTCATCTACCTTGTAAAGACCCGTCTTTAGTACTATTCTGTTAAGCTAGGCAAATTACCCTTTAGTAGGACAAGTTAACCTTTAGCTGTTTTTTCTCCATTATAACTGGATTTAGCAACTACACTATTTGTGTGACAGCAAACTGAATTACCAAGATGTAGGTTAATCAAAGTTAATGTTTTTCAGTCACAGGTAGTAGAAGGCAAAGAAACTAAAAATACTTTTTGCTCAGGCTAGCTGTGGTGAGCTCACCACTAGCTAGCCTAAACTCAATATAGCTGTGTGTCTGTTGCAGTGAAATAAGCGAGTCGGCGAGTCCAGACTTTACCAAGCCAGAGTGCAGAGTGCGGTTTGGCTTGGTCTTAGCCCCATTTTGTTGTTACTGCAAATTCTGCATATTGTTTTTATGGAGATTGTACATTTCTATGGCATAAGCTAATCATTTTTATTAAGTAAAAATGTCAGAAGGTATTAACTCAGCTTTCACCAAATATGTACTTATCTTGGTATGGGGCAGACATGGAAAATGCCATTCAGATATTGTGTTTGTCTACTACCACCACATGAAATAGGCCCTGCTTCTCTGCTGTTACGTTTTTGTTGAGGGCCTGACGTAGGTCAGCATACACAGCTTGCTGATGTGTCCTCATATTCTAGTCATAAACAGTAGCCTATTAGCCTACTTTTGCCAACAAAGGCCCTAATAAAGTTCAGCCCACCCACACAGACTAAATGTGAGTGTGTGTGAGCAGATAAACTCACATCTGCACCACTTTCTAACCCAGCTGTGTTCCTGCTCCGGATGCTGACAGTAAAGGTGTGATGAAAACAAACACCAGGTTGCTAGATTTGCATACAGTCTTTTTGGAAACCATGCAGAGGCAGCATCCCACACACTAACATCAGATTTATGTTTGATGAGGGACAAAGAGGTTAGACACTACTGAACAGTGGGGTCAGACTTATGAGGATTTCATACCCTTTTTGAGTCGCTGTTGTTTTTCTTCTCTACATCTGTCCTCTTACCTCTCATTCCCTCTCCTCCTACTCCTGCCCACTCGGCTCCTTGCTCTTCTTACCCTATTCCTTCTCTGTTTTATCCCTTCACCTTCCTCCCTGTACTTGACAGCTGTGCAGCCTCCTTCTGTGCTCTCTGTTTTAGCCAGGCTGCTCTGTGATTACAGGCTAGTGGTCTAAAATATAAATACAATGTCTATGCACTCAACCTCACACAGAACACCATGGCTTCCATTAGACTGATTGGATAAAATTAAACATCCCTTTAGTGCTATAGGCACAATCACAAGACACTGGAAATACACTGGCACCTCTGTTGCCTTCAAAGCCGACTGCGGTGTCACGGCCTGCAACCACAGAGAAATATTTAAAAAATCTACAAGGATCTTTTGTGTTTTCCTGCTAATTGCATATTGTTGTTTGGTAGTTTGTTTTCTCATATTTCCTTGGTAGGAGAAAGTTGTTCCATGATCTAAAGCATCCACAGTAACCATCAAGTTTAAGTTCAGGTCCCTTCAGAGCAAAGAGGTTATTTCTAGTCATACAGGGAGAAATTTATTTTAAAAGAAGCAGATTCTCCTGACAGTAATTTTAAAGGACACAAGTGCATTGCAGCCAAAAATATGGTGATTAAAGGAAGTAACTCTCCTTTTTTCTCTACTGGAAATATTCACTTAATTGCTTAGGCATGTTCTGTGGTAGGAGTCATTCTGGGCAATTAAGGAAGAACGGGTAGATGAGGATGCACTAAAACAACATGCAATGGCCACAAAGTCCATATTAGAAATTTTGCTTATTTTTTATGGGATTCAGATTAATAAAAAGTACATCCACTCATGTCATGTAATGACCAGAGTTAAGCCCATGATCCACAGGCTCAGAAACCTGATTTCAAAACAACAGGCTGTATCTTCCATGTATGCTTTGGCTTAAAATGCTCACTGTAATTCAACCCAATGTAGAGACAAAACCGTAGTGTTTTTGTATAAACTTTGCCCCCTTTGGTATTTGCTGTGATTTTCTCAGTTTTGTTTTGCCCCAGCCCTGTAATACAACTCAGAGGTTTCGCATGAATACCATCCGTTGTGTATTTGGTGTTACCCTTGTAACTTCATGCCAGGGGACATGCTGGACTTTGAACCTAGTGTTGTGTTGGATTAAAGAGAGAAAGAGAGGAATGGAGTCAGCTCCATCACCACACACCAGAGCTCAGAGCCTCATAAGCCCTTCACTTACAGACCAACCACGTAGATGCCGACCAAACTGTCACCACATGCCTTCTGAGGAGGGAGCTTTCACAGTTTCAGCACTGGCAGCCCTCACTGCTTAGATTTCTATAACAAACTCAGAATCTTCTCTTTATGTTCAGTGAAAGGGGCTGTATTTTTTTTTAAAGACAGAGACACTGGCATGTTATTAGATTCCATTTTAGTCACTGTAGTATTTGAATGATATAAATGACACGAGACAGGGTTACCTTTCACTCCCATTTTTCTTGTTTTATATACAATCCGCTGTGCCACTTTATACCAAATTTCAAACACAGCAGGCTTTAGTTATGGCTTGCTGAAATTTCTGAGGTACTACTATGTCTTCTCAGCCTCTGAGCCATCTAAGTAGGGTTAAAGATCAAGAGGAAACAAGCAGCCCAGTCCTCTAAAAGCAAAAGTGTACCTAGAATATGGCATGTTATGGAACACTTCTGGACTTTTGCCAGTTGTTACTAATAAGACTACTGTTAGTTGGTTAATCCCAGTTTATTCCAGCTTTGGTGATCTTTTTGTGCCCATCATCATCATTTCTGTTAGTTACAATAGCACTATACTCAGTTGCTGAAATCTGGAAACATGGTGTCAGTTTATAACAGAGTAAGAATGTTCAAGGAACCAGATGATCAGACAGATTGTAAATAAGATACAAGTTTCACTATTTAAACCACTTTGGATGGATGGAGCAGTGAGGTGTGCCAAGGATATGAAGTTTTAAAGGCACGTCAGAGGGGGCTGAGCTGAATGATGAAAGTATCAAATAATATAACTAATTAGTCTTTGTTGAATGAAGTCCTGTGAAGACCTTCTCAATTAGTCAGACGCAATAAGTACAGTTAAAGGTATAGTTAGCATTTCTCGGCAAAATTAGCAAGAGCAAGCTAGATTATGAAAGTAGACAACTGAAGAAATCCCACCCTTTTGTTCTGACTTCTCTCCAAAGCACAAATACGACCACCATGGTGTCACTTTTCAGCCCCTTTTGTTCTCTCAATGTTAACTCTGGTTTTACTTCTTGCAGCATCCAACTTATTTTTAGTTGTAACTTTCTCCAATACAGGCTTCCGTTTGCAATCAAAAGCTGCTGTGAGTACCTTCTCTACCATAGCTCACTAGCTTTAGTTATAAATACAAAGCGGTAGCCCGTCTGCCTGCAATGCCTTGTGGGAGACTTGGCTCCCACAATGTGTGCAAGAGCAGAGTGCGCACAAGTAGAAAGTTAGGCTAACAGACAGGTAGGTCTGGGACCTACTGGTTTTGCTGGGACTGAGTAAAACTACTGGTCAGGTTGTTTTCATCCCCACTGCTGCCACAGATGGCGAATTTTATTTTTCATTATGTGCATTTAATGTATTTATTGCCACTGGGATAAAAAGAGACTTTCATGAAATGCGACCAAAAATGCCAGCACTACCTTTAAGTTCACTACATTTTCAAACGAAGGAGAAAATAAGAAATTAATGTGGAAAAGGTCTTGTAGCAGTATCCTTTCCAGAGCTGCTGTAAGACTACAAACGAGGAATACAATGAAGAACAAGAGGAGAGGGAGAGTCCAGGCGGTTATGAGCCTGTTTAGGAGGAGGCAGGGGATGAGAGGAAATTACTTTTTTGAGGTTAATACAGCCTTGCGGTTTTCCAACAGTAGCTCACAGACTCCCTCCCAGTCTGTGCTGGCACGATCACTCCATCAATGCCAGCAGCTAATGTCATGTTTATCTCCCTCTAATCAGAGATTTAGCTAACTAATTACAAAGCAAAATGAAAAGTCTTCCAGGGGAAATGAGGAATCATTAAAGGAATGCACTGAGAATTATGAGAATTATGAGGAAATACAGTATTTAATTTTTTTTCTTAATACATAGATGTTATTTTAGTAATACGGAGCACATGCTGGCATTTTCTCAAGTATACTCCCCTGGAATGTTTAGAGTACAGTTTTATTAATAGCATCTGTCTTTCTTTTTCTCCAGGAACCTGATGCCTCGTACACTGGAGGGTCAGATCACCATGGAGAAGACCCCTAGTTACTTCATCACCAAAGAAGCCCCTCGTCGCCTTTTCTCCATGAGTCGCCACACTAAGCTCATTGTGGTGGTGCGTGACCCTGTGACCCGGGCTGTTTCTGATTATACTCAGACTCTGTCCAAATCTCCCGGGCTCCCGTCCTTTCAGAACCTGGCCTTCCTCAATGCAACCACGGGTCTCATCGACACGTCTTGGAGCGCTATACGCATCAGCATCTATGCCAAGCACCTGGAGAACTGGCTGCGCTTCTTTCCGCTCTCACGCTTTCTTTTTGTCAGCGGCGAACGCCTTGTGACGGACCCAGCGGGCGAGATGGGCCGGGTCCAGGATTTTCTAGGACTCAAACGTGTGGTGACAGACAAGCACTTCTACTTCAACCAGACCAAAGGTTTCCCCTGCCTAAAGAAGCCTGAGGGGAGCAGCAGACCGCGTTGCCTGGGGAAGTCAAAGGGTAGGCCCCATCCCCAGATCTCCTCTGAGGTCCTGCTTAGGCTCAGAGACTTCTACAGACCCTTCAATTTCAAATTCTACCAAATGACCAGCCTCAATTTTGGCTGGAATTAAACTGCTACTCACCAAAGCTATTGACAGCATTGTTCACCCAACTACAGTACCAAGACTAGACAGGGATAACTTGAAGATACTGCATGTTACCAAAGCTTTTACTGTGCAAAATAGGACTTTCCTTAATTTTCTAAGCTAAAAATCACATGCTCCTGCATTCTCCTACATTTACAGGAGCCATGCTAACAAGGTTTATAAGATGCCAGGGTTGTGTGATGGTCGCAAGCCAGACTTGCTTAAAGCTAGAACTTCCAGGACTTGGCATCGTGAGTTCCAGAAGTATGCTAAGCTGTCACTGCTGTCCAAAACACTTCACAGCACATAGCCTCTGTATTGAAAATAACAACAGAATGAATCCAACGCTTCAATGAAATGTGTGTAATGTTAAACTGAATGGCAAAAGAATAATATATCTTGACAACTGGGCAAAGCTACGATAAACCAAATGAAAGAGTGGAGGTTTGAGAGGGGCATGGGAGCTATGCCGCAAAAGCAGCTCAGATGGCAAAGAAAGAAGCAAAGAGTTTTGAAATATGCACATTGGTACAGTCAAAATAAAGATGTGCATTCCTGAGACGCAGATAAATGATTCATAATCATTTAAATCCTCTCTGCATTGTTCAGTTAATTTGCCGTTATAAAAAGTTTTCTTTTAGTATAAGCTCCTTTTCTGGATGATTATTATTTTGTTAAAAATTAAAGATGTAAAAAAAAATAAACACACAATCTGCTATGTGCTGTAAATGTGCTGTTATTTATGCCTGTTTAAAATGTTCTTTACTGTATACATGTACTTCATTTAATTGACACTCACCACAAATGATATACATACATGCAATTGTATATTTCTAAAAGCCTAATTTATATGATGACAAATTATTGTTAAAATGTTCTGTCTGAGACTTTTGTATTTGAAACTGTGCTGGAAATTCTGACTAAAGCTTTTATTCTAAAAGGTGTTTAAGGCTGATTTTTGCACTGTATTGCTGAGAACCACTCGGTTCATACTTGTATTTATTCCAAACAAACAGATACTGCTGTTGCTAGGAATACACAACCACATCTGTTAGGCAGATGATTTCTCACTGGAAGAAACCAACCAAACAAGAGGTGATTAAAAAAGAAAATGTAATTAATCATAATTGTTTTATTTCAGGGAATGACATAGAAGAAAAGCTGACATTTGTTTACAGCAGTATGTTCAAATATTGTAGAATATTTTTCATCCTATATCTGTTTATAAAGGCAAATGTTAAACTCACAAACAGTGCTAGTAAACAACTATTTGAAGAGTTGTATTGTATTGTATGGTTTTAATAGATAAAGACAATACTGTTCACATCAACGTTGAAGCAGCTTGTGTTAGCTTAGTTTAGCTGTGGCCCACTACTAAACTAAGCTAACACAAGCTGCCAGCGGACCTGGCATCTCTGTTTGAAGCACCCAAATAGCAGTGTGATTAAAATGTTTAATGCCAGTACAATGGACTTAAATCAGCAAGAACAGTTTACAAACATTTGAGCATAAGGTCAGGCAGTCTTTGGCAAACACGTCCCCTCTGAACTGAAGCTGGTGGTGGTACTGCACAGTGGGGTGGGGTGGTGGGGGACATATGGCTCTAGGGGGACTAAACTGCTTGGGGACTAAATTTGAAGTTAACACTGGACAGTGTTTTTTCTGATGTGTAAGCAATCAATTTACTGGGGTGATTGGAGACCTTTGTGGACTGGCCATTGCCCCTTCCCCCCCCCCCCCCCCTTGACCTGTGAGCCTGGTAGCTATAAACTGCTGACTGCTACTACCACTGGGCTGGTTAACTCACACACAAACACACACACACACACACACATAGGCATACAATTCCTCTGATCCATTAATATTGCATTCCCAACCTCTGGGACCTCCACTAAAGATCAATAACTGCCTGTTTAGTTTATAGGTGGCAGGGATATGTGCTAATACATACCATGTCCCACTGTCCCTTTGATTTAACACAGGGGCAAAGCACAGGTCACTATCATACATTTGTAAAATATTATTTACAACCTATATATCTTCCATACATCTGTAATTGATGCAGGGACTAAACACTAATACACAGAGGTGCATACAGTACGTGGATGCTGCACCAGGACTTTAATATTTCCAGGGCTACAGAGTCACTGTGGGGTTTCTGTCACATCCATCTCCTTTTATATTTATGTGATTGTTAAAGTCTAGATTTATTTTCATTACAAATCAGTAGTGATGTCAGTTTAATTCAATTCCCAGGTTACTGTTACTCACCAAGTGGATCCATAAAGAGGTTATAAAGTAAAGAAATCCAGAAAGACAGGGAAACCTGCTGTCACACTGGCAAATGTACTTTGAAAATGTAGCACAGTAGGTGACCTTAAAGCTGCACTAATCAATATTTTTATAGTAAAAATGGATGAAATGACTATGTACTGTCAAAGGGTTCGCAAGACCACAGACTTATCACCCGACTGCAGCTTCCCTCTACATCACCACAGAGGTTTTTAGAAATTTTCGGCTTGTTTTAATTCACAGTCACCACTTTCACAAATAGATAATAAATAAATAAACAATACATGAAAAATCTTTTATGAACATTTTCAGAAAAGACATTAGATAATGAAAAGTTGCCCCAAAAATTTTTTATTAGAACTTACTATTTGACAGGTGGTTGGTGTTTGTTTTCCACCCTGAGTACTCTCCAGTAATAGAATGTCCTCAAGTGACACAACCCCATTCATGGGACCAGAGTGTGTAAAGGGAGCCGGCCATCTGTGTGGTTGAGTTTCCCGCTGGTGAAAGGTTTCCTTTATGCCTCTCTCTGCACCAGAGAGCCCTGAGGCCTGAGATAGCAGCAGATCTTCATCAAGTGACTAATGTTAGTCAGGCCTGAAGATATTGAGAGGTAAACAAAATGGTTCAGCTGTAGGTCTGCAAAACAGGCATTTATCCAAAAAAGCCCTGGCCTCCATTCCTGATACATTTCTGTCACTCATACACTTGCCCTCCTGCCAGTGCTCCATGTGAGTGTCTGGCTTCGCTGAGGTTGGATCCAAGCATGCATGGATTAGACCAAATTCAGATATTAGGATGGATATGTGAATGTCACCCCTTCAAATCTGTACAGCACTAATGAAAGTACCTGCTGACCCTTACTAGGGAGGTCAAGTGTCCTTATTTAGGCAGGTGGGGGGAATGGCTGCGGATTAACCAGTACTCTGCCAGCCTGCTTATGGGGCATTGCATAGGTTCAGCCAGGCATGAGACAGCTGGAGGACAGGGGGTGGTTTTTATAAAGTGCAACACTTCCTAAGGCAGCTGAAAGTGGTACCTACTTTATGTCCATACTGATGTAAATATGTATGTACAGGTACACAATCAAGGATCTGCAGGCAGGTTTGCCAGCAGCAGTGTCTTAAGTTACAGTCTGGAGCTACACTAAGCTACAACTTATACCAACATTTGTTTATGCTGATGGAAGGAAGAAAAGAGGAAAAGTCAGAGTATCACCAAAGTCATAAGGAAATAGCCTCCTAAGTGCTGGCAATGTCTATATGCCAGTCAATGAATACATCAAAACATTGGCCTGCTGTTGAGGAAAAATCATGTCTATGAAACATAAAATGAGTTATTGTGTTGAATCACTTGTGCAACAGAGTGACAGCTATATTTTGATGAAAATTTACAACCCCAAGGCCTTTAATTTTTCAGCTGAAGGACTTGCTCTGCAATTGGTTGACCAAATCCTACCACTGCTGCACTCAATCCCACTGCATAAGCACAGAAAAGGCTTGTTTTGAGTAACCAAACTGAAAACAAGCCTTTTCTGTTCCCACAACCAAACAGCCACATGCAGCCCATCTACTGTCCACATTCCCCTTTAATGACACAAAGAACATTTCCTCTCCTGAAGTGACTTGAGCAACTGGTCGCTGCTTTGCTGTATGACTTGCTACTCACTTTGGTCAGTAGCAGCCCTCTGACCTGCCAGAGGTCAGAGTTTAAAGTGCAGTCGACCACCACAGTCACGTACGGTCAGTTGACCCTTATATACACGGTTATTCTCAGGCTGATGAGAAGAAAGTGATTGATCTATTACCAACCCTCTATAGTGGACTCATTTCATGTCAGTGACTGAGCTAAATTGGTCATTGTTGAACAAACTTGTGGTGTGATAATAAGGTACAATGCCTTATATTTTTCCAGATTGTGGCTGACTGTGAAGCTCTATCAAATCTGAAATGTAGACCACTCCGTGTAACATAACCTAAATGACACAGAATTAATGAAACAACTGCACGCCAGGCAGGGTGATTTCTTTGTGGGTGGGATGTCTTGGTGGTCATTTGATAGAGGAGTCATCTGTTGCCCTTTGACCTCAAAGTATGAAAGTGAGAGGAAAAGAGAGTTTGTTGTCAGTGAGATTTACCCAATTCAGACACCTTAACAATGTCTCCCAGCTCACGCTCAACACTAGGATCCTTTAACATTTGCTACATTTGGTCTTATACTTGTTGATATCTTTTGTCGCAATGTCCCCAGCAAGGAATAAAGGAGTGAGAATTTAGCTAAAGAAAGTAGTGTGTCCAATTTTTACAAAAAAAAAAAAAGGATTCTTAATAATGTATGGTTTATTATTTCATAGAATTAGGGGTTTAATTTACTTTTACATGTATTTCAAATGTGCCACCCTTCTTTGAGTCTGTGCCACCCCATCCAAAATTTTTTAGATCTGCTCCTGCCAACTGTAAAACACAGTTCGTAGATGGATTACTGAATGGACAAGCGAGGTACAGAGACAGGAACTTTTGTATAAGATAAAAGTTAACATCTTATGTTCAAAAGTCAAACAAACATAAAGAGATGCTAAATAATCACAAAGAGATAAAAAACAGCCACCATAAAGACACAAAATGACAACAAGATGATGCAAAATCACCACAAAAATGCAAAACAACCACAAAGATACACAAAATGACTACACAGAAAGGCAAAACAGCTACAGAAAGAAACATAACTGCACACAAAAGCTGTGTCTCTTTTAATCTGGGTGTCATGATCCTATATAGGGTGGGGATCTTTTGCATGTATCCAGGGGCCCACTGTTTCATAATCCATCTATATCCATAGGCTATTTGGACTTACAGAGGCATCAAAAGAGTCCTTCAGACTCTCATTGCTGCTGTTCTCTGTTTACCATAACTGTCTGAATGGATGCCAAATCATACAGCCTGTGATTGGTTTAATATGAGGCCTTCTCTACTTTGACAAGCAAGCTTCAAATTAGGAGAAAACACTTGGTTTTGGCTCTAAGAGCAGCATTCCTCCAGCATAGCGAGGATTTACACCCAAGTTTCCTCTCTAATTAGCAGATCAAGGGAAGACCGAAGACATGGACCATACATTAATTACAAATCACTGGGAATAAATCCAAGTTCCTGTGTTGCATTTTCACATGTGCTATTTTTCATCTGAATGGACTCCTGATGACAGTTTGCTTAACTTTCATTGATTCCACCATATGTTCTGCAGAGCCAGCTCAATGAGGTCCAGTTATGTTTCAAATCCAAGATGTTTGGTGGATAAGTCATTTTACACCTCAGGGAAAGGAGATGGAGCGAG